CTCAGTGAACAGATGTATCGAGCTGGCGCCCGCCACATCGCCCTCCGCAGGCCTATCCGCACGGCTGACACTGGTGATTAATGAGTTCCCTCCCTACGATTACTTAGCTCCTGTCCCCCATAACTGTTGCTATCCGGTGTTCGACAACCCTCCTTCCTCATTCATGCAAATACCTGCAACGCGAACATTTTCATTCATTCGTAAAACACCAGACGTCGTGACTCACACCCATTTTTCCTTTATGCTGCGGTATCAGAGACTTCAACGGAGTCGCAGTCTACCTGCTCGCCTGTGCGCTCTTCCCTCTGTGTCTGGGTTTTGTCTACCTGAAGTTAGATACCTCCAAGGAGTCGGGCATTCAGAACCGTTTGGGTCTCTTCTTTTTCGTCTGCCTACAAGTCATTTTCTTCAACACTAACTGTATGGAGGTTTTCATTCGTGATTTCGCGCGGTTCAGGTTAGTATAACAATTTTCTTCCTTGATTATGAACCCTATTCATAGCCTTTTTACAACTTTTTTCCTCCTCAACAAAATTAACACCACGAACACTCCAGCCTACTCCCCTCCTCCCATCTCAACAAAATCTGTGAGTTTTGGAAGAACTGTTTGGGACTATCTGCATCCACTCCAACCAAGTCACCGAAACAAAAAAAAACAGTCGGGAATCGGTAGCTCAGTGTTGTCTAGGACGGTGTTAGGGGTAGAAGAGCAGTTTTACTGCGTTAGTGGTAAAAATACTATAATGGACTATTATAACACAAGGAGAGGAGGCCTCCACCGGAAGGTGATTTATTTGTGGCCTTAGGGTTTCACCCATCTAGGCGACTAATAAGATGGGGCCTGTTGCTCGTGAGCCATATAATGCAACCTATGCAGGGAGCTGCTCAGTATCTGACGATATGTAAATGAAATTTTCCTCTTGAGGCCTCTGAACACAACAAAATCGTCTCCTGGTTAGTCAGTGACATATTGCTCTGCTTGCTTTGTTTCTATCTCTGTCCCTTAACTTTCAGTTTGTTGTCTTTTTAACTGCACTAATCAATATTTCTAGAGGACTTCCAGAGCAGCAGTAAAATAAGTTATTCTCTACCACTTTCTCGCCTATTAGGGTTATAGAAATCAGTGTGAGCTAAGTATTGTTAACTGTGATTGTTGTAAACTCCCACACAAATACTCCAGAATTGAATGCCACACGTAGCGCGGGGAGTAGATTTCAGACAACATCTAACATCTAATTGTGTGTAATTTGTAATTCTGTTACTTGGCACATGAACTTATTCAATGAGTCCTTTAAATAGAAGAGCGACCCCTTCAAAGGCCAAGCAATACGTAAGCTTTCTCTATGCCTACGTGAAATGTGCGAATGCTACTTCTATGCTGCTTGTCTTAAAACATTGTGCATCCTCTAAAGATCTTCCGCGTGTGCGTAATTTAGACAGGAACGTTTCAAAGGCTACTACTGCACATCGGCCTACTTTCTGTCTAAAGTGTTCTGTGAGATACTGCCAGTGAGAATGTTTCCTGTCATCGTCTTCCTTCCCATGCTCTACTTGATGGCTGGCCTGAAATTTGATATCTCTGCGCTTTTAATTTGGGAGGTTGTCTGGCTAGCGACATCGATCGCCTCCTGTGGTATTTCTATCCTGACAGGCGTCGTCTTCAACCAACTGGACCTAGCCAGCCTCTTCACCTGCCTCATTTACTCCTGCATGATGGTACGTAGTCTACTGATAAAATTATACTACTAAATATTATTCGAGTAAGTATTATGTTTATAATTAACATTTTAGGCATTCAGCGGTTATTTGCTAAACATGGTGTCCACGTGGCGTTTGCTGAGTTGGCTCCGCTACCTTTCCATATTCTGGTATGCTTTCTCCGCCCAGTCAATCAACGAACTAATGGGAGTTGAATTCTGCTCGCCGGTGAAACTCTCCCCATCACAACAGCATTCGCGGGCCATGTCCGGGGTTGATTTTGCTGTTATGGATGATGATGTAATCCAAAACTCTACAACCTCGCGTTTGCAGTCCTGGTAATAATATACTTTTTTACTGTGCGAATAATTTTAATTTTTCTCAAAAAGGTATCTTCGAAGCAGGCACGTTAAATATACAATTTATTATTTATTATTATTTCCTCAAATGACTTCATTAAAAATCACTTATTTTAACGGATAAAATTAAACAAGTTACCATCCTCACTCTCTTGCTTTTTGGGTGTATTTTAGCGTCTCCGGTTCAGAATATCTAGAAAATCAAGGCATATCATTTGGTTCTCCATGGAGCCTCTGGATTAACATACTCGGCCTCGGTTGCATTTCATTTTTTGCTTATTTGGCTGCCTATGTCCGCCTACGACTTACACGAAACTATGTCTCGTGATGGTAGAAAAAATGCATCAAGGGGACTCTTTGGTGCAAAATTCTCCCTACTTCTAGGCTCCCTGCTACTCCATGCTACCCAGGTGAATAAGGAACAGGTATCGCAAAGTTGACGAGGGGAGTGTTGGCGGTAGGGAGAAGTGAACACGAGGTCCTCCTTTCGCCGTTACCGGATGTGATTGAACAGAGCCACTGTTTTCCTTAACTGCAACACAACTGCCAAATAATTTTATTATGCCTATTATTTTGAAATTAGTTTTTTTTTTCAATTTTAAATATACATATTTTTCATTCCACGCCTTTGGTGTTCTTCTGCTCCAGAGTATACGTATTGACAAATAAATAAATATGGCATCGTATACGATTAGAGAACTTGGCCTGAGGTCAGAACGGGAGAAGTGAGTTTCGTTAAGGATAGGTGAGCGCTCATCAACGAATGTCAGTATTCCCGATCTAAACCTGCAGAATCTCGTGCCTGTGGCTCAATATTCTGATTTCTGATCAACAGGTCCCGGGGTCGAGCCTCAGGTGATGCACCACCCGAGGTTTTGTATGACTTGGTGATGACAGCTAATTAGTTAGCAATATTCCGCTGTATACGCCACTAGCCGCTCTATTGCTGCTGCAGGAGCTCGAGAGTGAGTTCCAAAGCAGAACGGTACGAGTGAGTTCCGTTAGTAATCAGGCGTGCGGAGAGGACGGTATTCCTGCGGAAATCTACCAGTCCTGTGTCGGCACCCTGGCTCCTCGGCTTCATGAGGTAATTGTACAGGCGTGGCGAGAAGAG